ACACAGAGCGGGGGGGCCATCAGCACCGGGAGGAGGCCTCGGAGCCGGGAACTGAGCCTGCTCGCAGGCCCTGCCCCTCCCCTCCTTCCAGGCCCCTTTCTGGGCTGCTGCCACCAAGGCTGACCTGTCCCCTCCCCCAGCGGTCGTGAAGAACAAATGTGGCCTCAGCAAGCCCTGCCCAGGCAACTTCTTTGCATTTAAAATCTGCAGTGGGGCCGCCAACGTCGTGGGCCCCTCCATGTGCTTCGAGAACCACATGTAAGTTTCCTGTGTTTCATTTCTTTTCTTTTCTTTCCTTATTCTTTATTCACAAATTCAGAGGCTGCAGGGGCAGACCCTGACACCAGCCCACCCCTCCCACAGACTCCCTTTACCTCTGGCGGGTGAGTCACCAATAACACGAATTCTAACAGCTTCCCCTTTCCAGCACCTTGCTAACTGCTTTGTGGCATCACCTTGTTGGGTCCTCCGCACTCCCAGGGGTGGGGCCACAATGATCACTTTTGTAATGATGAGGAAATTGAGACTAAGACCAACCACGATCCCCAGCTAAGCAGTGGCGGAGCCAGGATTGGAACTCAGGTCTGTCTGCCAGCCAGGCTGCACGGCTTCCTATGGAGGGGCATGCCCGTGAGGAGGGTTCAAGGTCAAGATCAAGACACAGTATCAAAGAGGCACAGGTGCCAGAGGCACAGGTGCAGGAAAAAGACTGTGTACCCATTATCCAGACCAGGTAGGAAGGCCCGGGGATGGCAAGCCCATCCTACGGAAGACACTGGACACAGGTGTCTGAGTCAGGATTCTGAACCTGACTCCAACTCGCTGGGCAAAATAAGGAAACGAGCGGTTCACACACCTGAAAGGCCTGAAGCATCCGTTTCCAGGGCCAGCTGGTTCCAGGGGTTCAGACCGTGTTGTTAGGGTTCCCTCTCAACGCATCTTCGTCTCTGCTCTCCTCTATCCGTGAGATTCCATTTTCTCTATTGAAAATGGGCTTCTGGTGTGGCGAAGGAGGGAGGCCACCAGCTGGACAGACATACTTGCCCGGGCTAGCACCCTGCCGGGAAGGGAGCTTCCCCAGATGAAGTACCCCGAAGTCCCAAGACTGGGTCCCACTGGCTGGCCTGGGTCACATGCCCCCGCCTGGCCAGTCACTGCGGCCACAGGAGCTCTGCTCACCCAGGTCGGGACGAATAGTCTCTCCCCGAGAACTAGCTGGTCTGAGAGTGGAGGGCAGGGACACAGCCCGGCTCCCCCTGGCAACCCCAGCCTCTGCAGGATGGCAGCTACTTCTGCGCTCTGCCTTCTGGCCAGCAGCGAGCCTCATGGCCTAGAGAGACAGCTGCCCCACCTCCACCACCTCGGAGCCCGGCCAGGGGCCTTTCCTCTTTCCTGCACAGACTGTTCTGGTCCAGATGCGCCCTAAGAGACGCCTCGGGGAATCCAGCCCACCGCTCACTTCCAGGGGAAAGCAGGCGGCCCAGATGATTCTGCGCGTGTCCTGACGCTCCTGTATCGCGCCGTGAGGGCCCTCTTGAGGCTCTAGGGCCGCGAAAGCAGAGTGTTCGTCCCACACCCGGGACTGACTACAGTGTTTTGTTTTTCTTCTTCTTCTTCAGGATCATGAGTCCTGTGAAAAACAACGTGGGCAGAGGCCTGAACATCGCCCTGGTGAATGGTGAGTTGCTGACCCTCCCCAGACAGCCCCCACCATGATCTTAGTCCTGCTGGGCAGGAGGGGGTGTGGTTGGGCATTCATCCAGCCAACATTGGCTCAGCCCCTATCATGTGTCCAGGGTAATCCTGGAGCACTCAGAGGGGAGGCCTGGCTGGCCGGTGGGAGCAAAAGGCCTAAAAGACCTGGTCCTGCCTGCTGGCATCCCAGCCAGGCCCCTGCCATGTGCGCCTATCTCAGGAGGATACACGTCTTCTATGACGCATGACCCCATCCTCAGGGCCACCCTGCCTTAAACCAGCACACATGAAACCACAGGGAAAGCCAACAAGGCGGTGAGCTGAGTGCACGCCTTCATTCACTCATTCAACAGATACCGCCAGCAGCTCCTGTGGGCCAGGGCATGCACCAAGCCCTGGGGGTTGGCTGTGACCTAGAAGGACAGGCCCTGGCTTCACCACCCCTGTGGGTGTCCGTGAAGTTTACAAGCCATGACAATGTGCTGGGCATCTATGAAGAGGAGGAGACACAGCTCCCAGAGCAGGGGGAAAAAGTAGTCAGGGGATGTTTCCAGGGGGAAGTGATGGTCAGCCGAGGCCTGAAAGATAGTAGGGGTTGGCCAGGAGAAAAGATGGAGAGGCTCCTTGGAGGCAGAGGCGGCACTGTGCAGGGAGGGGGAAGGGAGCAGGGAAGAGAGGAGGTTGGAGTCCATGTGGGGTCTCCCTGAGTGCAGTGTGGGAGCAGGCAATGGTGAGAGGCATGGCTGGGGAGATTAAGGGGCTAAATGTCCAGCTAAGACATGTGGCTTGAAGCTGAGGGCAGCACGGAGCCTCAGAAAGGCTTTGAGCAGGGCAAGAGGGTTCAGTGCTGCATTCCAGAAACTTCCTTCCAGCCTGGAGTAGGAAGGCTGGAGGCAGGGAGACCCAGCAGGAGGCCCACAGTCTCACTAACCCTGTTTCTCCAGCAAGGAGACTGACTACAGGCCAAGCCTGAAATCGACACAGGTGGGGAGGGGGGGGGGTTTGCAGGGATGGAGTAAGGACTGGGTGGTCTGGCCACAGCCAAGACCCTCCATTTCCTGGAAATCCATCTCCCTGGATCTAAGAGCCACTTCCTGGGTCAAAAGTCAAAGCAGATGGAAAAAAGGCAAAACAGGTGCTCAGGAGGGAAAAGGTCAAGCTTGTACATGGTGTGACCACATGACCACACTTGGTAGGTAACAGAGTTGTCTGGAACCCTGGCCTTTTGCTCCTGGGGGAGGCATTTCCTCTCTGCCAAGAAATCCTGCTGGGTCAGGGCAAAGGTCAAGGCCTGGAGCAAAAACGGAGCCTTGCCCTAGTAGGGGTCAGAGGGCAGCCCAGGAAGGGTGGGGGCTGAGAAGGATCCACAGCTGAGCAGCACCTGCTCCCTCCAGTCTTGCCAGACCCGATTCGCTCCGAGGGCGGCCCCTTTCTGTAGAGGGCGTTTGGATAGCCCGGGCGCGGCTCAGAACACGGTCCAGGCCTGCCGAACCCCAGCGGACTGAAGTCTCCACTCACACTGGCGGCCCCACCCAGTCTCCACTCACCCCCATGCGGAGAGCAGGAAACCTGCTCCGCTGCAGCAGATTTGACTGAAACCCGCTGGTTTTCTCTTCCCCAAAGTGGGTCGCTGCGGAAGAGGACCTCTTCAAGCAGTCTTATGAGATGGTCTCAGACTGGGGCCTCCTCCTCCACATGGCATAAGCCTAAAGTTAAAAATAACCATCCCTCCCACTGAAAGCAAGCTAACATTTACTGAACGCTCACTGGGTTCCGTTTCATTTACACTCATGCTAGAAGGGACCTGTGCTCATCTCCTCATGTTGCAGGTAAGAAATGGAGGCTCAGAAGATTCGGCAACCTGCCCAGGTTACACAGCCAGTGGAATCATGCAGATCTATCTGAATCTGGATCTGGCTGACTCCCGGTGTAATCACCCAGCTGACCTCCCTCGACTAGAAACCTTTCCAAACCTACTGCCTGCCCCTTGTGGGAAGTTCAGCAAATCACTCTCAGGCCCTCAGGGTCCTCCCCTGTATAATGAGCGGGAACAAAGGGTTGCTAAAAATTAGTGGTGCTTAACCTTTTAGGGGGTAGAGATTGCTTTGAGAAACTGCTGAAACTACACCTTCTCCCTGATTCTCAAAAAATGTACAAATGCCAATGATCACAGATCCCTTCCAAATGCCACAGGTGAAGTGCCCTGGGGACTTGGACACTAGTGGCTCGGAGAATCCGGAAGGGGCTGCAGTGTGAGCTCCCCAACCCCGCAGAACTGCTACCACGCAGGCCCCGGTCCCCACCCTCTGCAGGGATCCACAAGCTGCAAGCAGCGGGGATGGGTCGGGCGGCGAGAGCGCAGCGCTGCCATCCCTTCGGCAACACCCCCATCTGGTGGCAGAGAGTGAGAACTGCTACTTCCTTGCGGAACACCTGCTTCCTGTAGGAAGGAAGGACTTGGACCGTTTGTAAAACCCACAAACACAACAGATTACTGGACTCAGGATATCAAGTACAGTTCAGCCCACTGCAGATCCCTTGTGTTCAAGAGCTGGAGGAATCAAATTACAGGTTTCCTATTTAGGCAGGAATAATGATAATGACTGTAGTTATTTGTATTACTATTTTGCACCTTATATTTATCTTGAATGCTTACTATTGATTTTAAATACACCTCATTTAGTTCCCACAGCCCATTGTACAGATGCAAAAATTGAGGCCAAAATGGTAAGTTGTGCATTAGGAAGTGGCAAGGCAGAATGCAGACTCAGATTCGGACCCCATTCAATTCCAGAGATCCTCCACCATTATGTTCTTGGACCTCTCCAATTAGCTCAAAAGCGTTAGGCACTTACTCAGTCCTGCATGCTTTCCACAGGACCTGTCTTTTTTCCATTATTGTTCTATTTTTACCCCTTAGCCTAAAGAGTAGCCGTTTCCTGCAAAATGACATGTTACAGGAAATAATAGTACTGCTCTCTCACCCCTTAGGAAGCACAGGAATGGTGCACAGACAGAGCTCTTTCGACATGTACTCTGGAGGTAGGCACTGACATCACAGGGTGGGCTGGGTTCCTCCCTGCCACAAGGGAACTATCGGGGTGCTGGGGTGCTCTTGCTTCCACAGAAGGCAGCCAGAAAGAGGCTGGTGGGTGCTGAAGATCAGGGGCTCATGTGTTCAGGTGGGTACAGTAAGGCAAGCTCTCCCTGGAGGTGGAGGCAAAGATGGGGGCTTCAGGGTTCCTCTCTGCCGGGGGCTTCCTGGGGTGTATGGGCTGCTTTCTACTGTCTCAGCTGGGCTCTCTGAGACACAGATCGTGGGACAAGGATTCAAATGCCCTGGTTCCTGTGGGAGGAGGTGATCTCGGGGCTATCAGTGAGGGAGAGACAGGGAAAGGAAGGCAGTCTGTCCAGTGTGTTATCAAGGCATTGAACATGCAGGCAACTGGAACTCAGGAGCGAGCGTTGACTGCATGCCTCAGAGATACCGCAGAGGGGCAAGAGAGCCGAGGGGCCCCCTGGTACCCTGGCGCTTCCCACACTTCTGGCCTGCCCCCAGGTGCAGAGGAGGACCGCAGGCCAAGCATGTGTGCACCGAAGCGCTAAGGGTGAGATCAGATGGTCCAGCTTGCTCTGCCAGGTTAAGGGTATTTTATTTTGAGGCCATAGGGGTGTCTCCTGGACCCAAGAACAGCACAGGCCTCCCAAGGCCCAGAAAGGCTGCTCTGGGGCTCCAAGCTCTCTGCATCTTTCTGCAGTCTTTTCTCCTGTCCGCACAGACATGCTATCTGAGCTTCTCGGGGCACAGGGCCACCCCCTAGGAAATCGCTGTCCTCCTTGTCCTTAGCACAGCCCCGTGACAGGGCTCTGACCCACCTGGGCTGGAGGCCCAGACATCTAAGTTCCCACCAGCAGCTTCCTCCCCACAGGCTGCCCGGCAGAGCTGGGACAGGACTTGCCCAACACTCCCAATATCTTCCAGATTGTGGTGCAGTCAGTCCTAGGTCCGTGTGCCACCTACTTTCCTGCTGGCAAACCAGCCTTCCTCCAACACAGGAACCTCATCGAGGAGTGAAAAGGCAGCAGGGCAGCCGTGCAGATGGCAGAGTCGGGGCCCCACGAGGACGGTTTCCACTGGATAGATGAACTGAGCTCAGGCCCCTTCTTGGAGCCCAGCTTGACTCAGTTTCCCTCCCACATCCCTGCAATCACAGGGTGCTGACCATGTGACCACCCACCCCAGGAAGCCCCTGGCAGAGTGGAAGAGGCCCGTGGCTGCCGATCAGCCGGCTTCTCTCCTGATCCCCCTTCTTTGCCTCCACCTCCGGGAAAGCCTACCTTACTGCTCCCACCTGAACACATGAGCCCAAGAGGGGACAAAGTCACCAGGAAGCAGAGAGCAGGGAGCCCTCTGGGCTTTGCAAACAAAGGAGAGGCTGAAATATGGACAGTGGGAATCCGCTGCCAGAAGTCCCAGCTGGGGAGTGTTTGGAAGTGATCTGCAGCATCCCCCTTAGAGACAGGAACAAGGGCCCGGGGCTTCAGAGGGTCCCATGGTGGCCATCCCCCAGCCAAGTCCCACTTCATGGGCAGGGTCTGCAGGGCCAGAGGATGTGCAGGCCCCCTCACATTCTTCCAGGTGTGCCCCCAAGGCTGCAGACACACCCCTAGGACCAAGATAGCCAGGACATGGCTGTTACTGAAGGAGAAGGTGGTGTGGATGGAGCTTAGACTGGAGTGCCTATATGCAGGCATGCAAGGCCTCTCTTGGTGCAGGATGGAGCTGGTGATGAGGTGAGAAGAGAGTGGAACAGGCCATGGGCATGGGACCAGAGGCCTTCATTGCCTCTCTGTCCAGGACTCTGGAAATTATGTAGCTGATGCTGCTGATAATTATAATTCCATTGCAGTGCACTTACTGTATGCTCAGAAGAACCATTGTCACATTTGATCTTTACAAAAATGCTATGAGCAGGGCTATTAGTCATCCTCATTTGACAGATGTAGCCCTGCTTTTCCCAGGAGTTCAGTCTCACCCATACTTCTTCAATCAGTCAAGAAGAGCCCCTGCACAAGCTACACCTATTCCTGAGCACCGTCTGAATCATGAGTATTTTCCTTTAAATCGGCTCACTTTTTTTAACCTAAATAAATGCATCTTAAAAGGAAATTATATCACTGTCCTAAGTAGAAAGCTATTATCTTTTTTATGCAGGCAGGATGACCACAAAATAAACACAACAGAAATAAATCAGTGTCCTTGAAACAACCTAGACACTGATGGCTCACCCTACCGGCTCTCTGTTAAATTCAGAGATTCCACAAGTGTAGGGAGGCGTTAATGATGCACAGGGAACCCTGCTTCTTGACGGAGGCTGGAGAGTTGTAAGAGACTAATGCTCTCCCTCAGTGACCCAGGCTGCCTGTGGCCCAGTGGGCGTGCCCTCTACAGTCAGTGCAGACAAGACGGGTTCTTAACCAGCGCAGAGGAGGGCAGCAGGAGCGTGCAAAGACCCAGAGCACCGAGAGGTGACTGTGCTCCGTCTCCTGGGGCTATAGGCCCCCAGGTGTCCTTAGCCCAGTGGTTCTCACCTCCTGCTATACATAAGCATCACCTGAGGAACTTTCAAATCCCAGTGCCACCCCAGACCACCTGAATGAGGCTGCCCACACTGTGCACTTTGCTCTCCCGCAGGACGGGGCTGCAGGTAGGGCAGGGCTTCCTGCTGGCCCTTGAGCTTCAGATGGGTCATAAAGGCGGTCGGAGAGAATGAGCATGACCAGGTCTTTGCCCCTAAATGACGGGCACTTCATTTTCCTCCCTTCTCCAGATACGAAGTTCCTAGTGAGATTCCTTAGAGAAATTCCAGATGGCACACTGGTGCTGGTGGCCTCCTATGACGACCCAGGGACCAAGTAAGTGGGGACCTCCCCCTGCCAAGTGATGGGTGAAGTGAACCAATGCTTCCCAGCCCCGAGTGCCTTTTCCCACTCTCCTGCCAGCTCCTCATCTGGCAACTTCTCCTAAGGAAATAACCAGGCATGTGCCCAAAGAGATGTTCTAGAAGGCTTATTACAGCTTTGGTTACAACAGTGAAAAACTGGACACATTCCCCCTGTTTCATAATAACCGACTGGTAAAGAAATCAGGACATCCTGTGATACATGACATGCACACATAAAAGAGGGTGCACTGCATCTAAAATGATGGTGATGAAAATATTTACGGACATGGGAGAATTATCATTACCCTTTATCATTATGCAACCAAAAAAAAGGTTATAAAAGCATTGGTGTGATCCCATGCATAGGAAAAAAAATGTACTAAATTTTTACAATGATTAGGTCAAGGGGGGGTGAGACTACTAATTATTAGTAGTAATAATGCCCGGCATTTTCCAGATGAACATGTACATTTGTAAACCGAAGCAAAGCTGTTCTAACACCTCTCCGCCCACCTTCAGGGAGACTCGGGAGAGAAGTCCTGGCCCCTCTGCCCTGCTCCTCCCCAGTGTGACCCTGTGCGGGGCAAGGTGGCTGGGCGGGCTGGGGCAGGGCAGGGCGGGGCCCTCCTCCCGTTCAGCGCCTCACTGTCCTCTCTGGTCCTCTGCAGAATGAATGCTGAAATCAGGACGCTCCTCTCCAACTTGGGCAGTTCCTATGCAAAGCAAGTGGGCTTCCGAGACAGCTGGGTCTTCTTAGGGGCCAGAGACCTCAAAAGTAAAAGCCCCTTTGAGCAGGTGGGTGCCTGGTGGCCTCCCCATCCCAGTGAAGGGGGGAGGGAGGTGCCAGGATGGATGGACAAGGACACAGGCAGGTTGAGAAGGTCACGAGGGCCATGTGGGGACAGCCACCCAGCTGTCATCCACCCCAGAGGTCATCCGAATGATCCCCCAGCAGGGTCAGTGGCCTTGACCATTTTGCAAGGAGGTGGGTCACATATAAAAGCATAGATGCATAGATAAGCACCACCAACGGAGAAGGAAAAGGAGAAGGAAGACAGGGATGGGAGGCAGGGGGGGAGAGGAAGGCATGTGGGGATAAGCCTGTGTGACGGGGGGACGGGCGCCTGGCTTCTGGTCCCAGCTGCAGCCTTGGGGAGCTCCATCTCCCTCCAGGCCCCTGTGTCTCCACCTGTAAAGGGGAGGGCGTGGACCGGGGAGCCCCGCGGCCCCTTCCAAGCTCCCTGTGCAGAGGGTGAACTGGCACCAAGGGGAGGACACAGGAGAGCACCCCGAGTATGCGGAAGGAGTCAGGGGCTCTGTGACATGGGGTCCCATGGTCAGCACCCACGTGGCCCAAGCAGACAGGCCGGCAGCACAGAGGAGTGGGAGCTGAGGAACGCTCACAGGAGGAGGGAGTCAGTGGGGAGCTGGGGTCCCTGGGAAATGCTGGGACTTCTTCCCCTGGCCAGGGCAGCCCCCAGCTGAGAGCAATTCCAAAACCTGGGATAACTGGCCAGGCCATGAAGTAGGCCACTGGGGGTGAGAACCCTCAGCTCTGCCCAGATCCTAGATGGGGAGCCAGGGCTGATGATTCGGACACACGGGACTGCTGGGGAGAGTGGATCTGTCCTGAAGGCAGTGGGGAGCCCCGGCAGGCTTAGGCGGGAGAGTGCCAAGAACAAACCCATAACAAGCCTAGCATCCAGCAAGCGTGTGCTCTGCGCGGGTGTGGCTGAGCCAGTTGCCTGTGGGTCTTATTTCACATCCGAGGTGAAGTAGGCATGACTGCCTCCCATCTCCCAGACAAGGATCCGGAGTGTTGGAGAGGCTTTAACCTGCTTGCTTGAGTCTCAGAACTACTCGGTGGTGGGGAAGCCCCGCTCATCCAGCTCGGTCCACCTCCACAAAGATTTCCTATCCTCACATGTTGAGGACGGCCTCCCTGGCTGAGCACAGGAACACTGTGAAGGCAGGGAGGAGGCCGAGGTCACAGCCAGAGGAGTGGTGCGGCAGCCTGCAGCGGGAAGGGCTTCAGGAGGCAGGGAAGGGAAGAGGCAGGAAGCTGAACTCCAGGGTGTGGGGACACAGTGGGCTGCAGCGGGTTAGCTCTGCCTGGAAAATGCTGGCCAGGCTTGTCTGTGTGTGTTTCTAAGACAATTCAGGTGGTCAGAAATTTTTTTTTTTTTAATAAGGAATATTATAGAGTAGTTTGTGTGAGAGAAGGCGAGGAGAGGAGCTTGTGTTCATACAGCAGGGAGGGCCAGGCAGCAGAATGTCGCTGAGGGAGGTGCCCGGGCAGGACCCGAGACAGAGGCTGGAGGCTGTGCAGGCAGGGCGGGCGCAGTTCTTCCTAAGGTGTAGCTTCCAGACCCTTCAGAACCAGGCCGAACGGCACAGAGGAAGCACATAGTCAGAGAGGAGTCAGCCCATCTTTCACCTGATGTTTATGATCAACCGACAGGGACCCATCACCCAGAAATGAACCAAAGACCAGGTCGTGAGTAGAAACAACATGGCCTTTGTTCCCACACATGGGAAACTGTGGCCCTCTGTGCCTTGGTTTCCCCATCTGCAGAATGGGATGATGATTACAGGCACTTCTTAGGGGCTACTGTAAGGATACATGCATAGGGCACTTTGGGCCTGGCACAGAGCAGGTGCTCATGCAATTGCTAGGATGCACCTTTTAATTGCTGTTGTTTTTGTTAGTTATTAATTTTTATTATTATTATAATTATTTAGAATGTCCTGGGAGTGCTGACGGAGAATTTGGGAGAGGGGCTAAGGTTCTCCAAGCTCCCCCACCCCACCCCCATTGCTCAGTGCCTCCCCATGGCATGCCAGGCAGTGGCTGGGCTCTGATCCCATCTCTGAAACCTTGGACAAGCTGCATTCCCTGCGCACCTCGGTTTCCCTATCTGTGAAATGGGCTAGTCGTATCCCACACTGCACCACGCCCACGGGGCTAAAGCCAGGATGAAGGGAGTGGAGGCATTCAGGTTTTCAAGCCCAGGGAATATGCAGGTGTGACTCCTAAACGGCCTCCCCCACTGATGGCGTTTCTCTCTTCTGTCCTCTAGTACTTAAAGAACAACCCAGACACAAACAAATATGAGGGCTGGCCGGAGCTGCTGGAGCTGGAGGGCTGTGTGCCCCGGAGGGCGTTCTAGGGTGCTGAGGCTCCCCTGGGCTGGGGCCTCAAGAAGCTCGGGCCTGACTTAGGGGTCAGGGCCCGGGTGCTGGAGGCCTGCTGGCAGGAGCTGCCGGGCAGCAGAGCGGGGCGCAGGAACGGCAGTGCCAGCACGGAAGGTGCTGAGAGTGGCCTCCGTGCTCCTGCTCCGCGGCCTCCGCTCTTCGCACACAAAACCCTCCTGTGGGCTGAGGCAGCCTGCCTGGGTGGCCATCCCCCGAGGGTCCTCAGGGGCTGCTGTCTGTGCAGAGGACAGGACTGCTTCCCCTCGAGAGAGTGCTGACTGCCTCCGGGGGAGGCATGCACCGCCCCCACACCTGAACACAATTAGATTTTATTTTTGCTGGTTTTGAATGAACTCTGGACCACTCACTGGACAATACCTCCCTGCCGTCAAATTGGTCTAGGCTGGGTTTGTCTGGGCCACAAGTTTGGACAGGTGGGTGACAGCTTCGGGCACAGGGATAGGCAGCCTGAAAGGGGGCCGATTTCCCAGGGATCTTGTCGAGGTGTGTAACTCCGGAGGGAGTAGAGCCAGAGGACAGATGCGGGGAACACCGTCTTCCCCTGCCGTCTGCAGGCCACTGCGGGGAGCCCAGAGCTGCGGAGGAGGGGAGCCGGAGGTCTGAGAAAGGCTGGAAAGAAGAGCGAGACTGGGAGGCAGGCCCCAGGGAAGCCATCTTGGCTTCTTGGGCTGGGCTCCCCAGGGGCAGCCCCTAAGATTTATTCGGGGAGGAATTCTAGAAGGGTGCAGAAGTAAGACAGTGAGCAGAAGGCAGCCAAAGAAGGGTGTGCTGTTGACTCTGTTGCTGTGGGTGAGTGGAGCCCCTAGGAATCAGTGTAAAACACACCCCAGAGACCTCCTAGTGTGAGGAGCTGGGAGGTTCCTGCCCCGACCCGTTAGGCCCTGCGGGGGCACTGCTAGTGCCGGGGCGATGGGATTCCTGGGTATGTCTCGTGTGTCCCCCGCAGGAGAGAGGGGCCACCGTGCTCTCAGTGACAGCAGCCGCCAGGGCCCCTGGAGTGGTGAGATCCAAGGGCTACAGAGCTGAGAGCACACCTGGGGTCTCTGAGGAGGGCTGGGGTGCGGGCCTAAAACGAAATCCTGGAGGGTGAGGCATCGTCCCCAGGCTCCTACAGGAGCTGCCCAGGCCTCAAGGACAAATACCCCAAGCAGGAGAACAGTGGAAGCTCACGCGCATGCCAGTGGAGTGGGGCTCACAGTTCCCAAGCCCTGGAGACAAATGGGCCAAGAGGGCCTGGGGTACAAAGGAGGACAGCATGTGGAACCCTTCGACCAAGGGCTGTTGGGGGCTGGGACATGGGCTGCAGTCACTGTGGGGTCAAGATCAGTGTGTGCAAAGCCTGATGGGACAGCTTGGAGCAGGTTTGGCCAAGGAAGTCAGCAGAAGGCACCCAGCCAGCCACCCCCAATTCCATATCCCCTCCTCCCAGCCCACCATAGATTACCCAGGGGGCTAAAGGGAATGTTTGCTGATAGCCTCAGCTAACCACTTGCACACACACACCCCTGTCGGGCGCAATGCTTGGCAGCTTTACATAAGCAAACGAACCACCGGTTCCATTCCTCCCTTTTTGTTCCAAGGGGCAGGGCCCCTGCCCCCACCTGACAGCGGGTGCTGACAAGGGTTGGCCACTGAAGCCCAGCTCCCTGCCTGCCCAACCCCAGCACTCAGTGAGGCGAGCTGGGGGAGGAGGCTTCCGCAGGCCCTGGACCCTGACTGAACCACCCTTTCCCGTACCTGGCTCACTCCTACTCTGAGCAGTAGTTACCTATTGCAGGCAGCAGGGCTGAGCAGAAAAGCCAGCAGGCCTGGCTCTGAGCACTGGCTCGGCCACTCGCTAGCTGGGTGCACGAGTCACATCCCCTCTCTGACCCATAGTTCCTCTTCGGAAATGGAGGATTATATCCATCTGTCAGGCTGGTGAACACTCAATATGATAAAATATCCACATCACCAATAGACATATAATGTTTGGAAAAACATCGATTTTTAGTGGCCAGGTACCCACTCTGGGAATGAAGTTGGCAGGACTTTTCCATTATTACCATAAACACCTTTGTATGTTTGGAATTTTTCCCTAACAAAAATGAACAATACCCATACAATTAAAAGAACCAAGAAGGACTTCTACAGTGAGCTCATGGCTAGAAACAGGACTAGGCAGAGCTCTTGGCAGTGGCCACTATTTAAAACAACACGGAGCGGCCACCTGGCTGTAAGAGAGGACACATGGTGCTTTTCTAGAAGCTGTGTTGTGCAACACTTTAAAGAAGACTGAGAAAATGTCAGTGTGATGAATCAGAGAACTGGGGAAAAGGTTTCCTGGGGATGGGGGAGCTTGGAAAGGCAGCTCAGTAGAACGTTGGCTGCCCGCCTACATGCCCTCTCCGGCCAGTCTGCCCTCTTCCTTGGAGAACAGCCCTCAGGCTACTCGCACGGCCTTTGCTCCCAGGTGCAAAGCATAGAGTCCAGGAAGTGCTGGAGTTCCCATCGTCTGGAGATGGCTGTAGCTAATGACTGCCTGGCTGGGAACGTGGCAGCCCAGCGTCCTGTCTCGGGGCAGGACAACCACGAAGCATAAGTCACACTCCAGAGCCCTCCGTGGGATCCCACTGCAGCTGGGACTTTGCCTGGAAGTGTCCCTTCGCTTGGTTCCCTCCCCTCCCCTGTCCTGCTCCCCAACTCCCTTACCCAAGCGCTAGTCCTGATAAGTCTCCTGCACAAGAATCCTTATCCCAGAGTGGCGTGTTGGGAGAAGGGAGTGGAGGGGCAGGCTGGTGGGGAAGCTGCTGTGCCATCCAGGGAGAGTAGATGGTGGCCTGGACCCGGACATGGCATGAGATGGAAAAGGGACCCGTCCCAGGAATATTCAGGAAGTGAAGCAGACAAGACCTGGGTCCTGATTTTCTCCTCATCGCGGTGGACAGGTCTTCAGGAATCCCTACAAGCTACTCAGGACCTCAGAACCTGGGGCTTGCATTTCCCTCCGTCCTCCCCACCAAGCTACCACTCCTCTCCCAGGAGTGAGGACTGGGCCAGGCAGAGATTCTCTCTTCCCTTGGCCACAGCGGTCCTTCCAGCTCTCACCAGTAGGTGGCAGCCCAAGATAGAAAGGGAAGGGTGGCAAGGTCCCCAGCGCCCACCCAGTTCTCGGGAGAGGTGTGCTTAACGGACTGGCAACCTGGGACTTGGCGACGGGCAGTGGATTTCCCATCACCGTTATTAACAGCATCAGAGCAGCCCTGCCTAACTTCCATGGAGAACTGCTGTTCCCCAAAGATCCCCCTTGCAGAGCTTTACATGAATTACCTCACTGCATCCACACAGGGTTGGGACCATTGTTATCCCCTTTTATAAAGTGGGAACTGAGGCTCAGAGAAGGCAAGTGACTTTTCCAAAGTCACACAGCTACGGAGCCTCAGAACAAGGATTGGAATCCCAGTCTATCTCCATTGCTACAGGAAATGGTACTATAGGAAACTCTCCACAAACACTCTAAAACTGCTCTGTGGTAAACAATTTTCCTCTCCCCTCCTTTTCCCCTTCCCCTGCCTCTTCCTCCCCCTCCTCCCGAAAGCCTCTGAAGACATTTGAAAACTGTTCAGAACCTCAGGCAATGTTCTCAACATCCACCATCGTTGCTTTAGAAGAGATGCAGAAGGAGGGGGTCTGAGAGATTCGGAACTCCCCTTTACAAAACCCTCCCAAGTTTGCAAACCTTACTTCCTTGGGCAGGTTTGTAGGTCAGGAAGGAGCAGATGGTTAGCCCCATTTTACAGACAGAGAAAAGGAGGCTAAGGGCTGTGCCTGAGCCCCACAGTGACACGAGACAAAGCTGGGTCTAGAACACCTGGCCCTTGGCCTTCACCACCAATTGTCATTCCATAAATCACGTGCCCCTATTCCAAGCACCTCCTCTGTGTGGGGGCCGAGCCCCAGGCCTTCAGCCACTGCAGGCCTCCAGGTAACCAGGCGTTCCGTGCAGCTCATAAGTCATGTTTCAGCAGGACTCCAAGCAGACAGGGAAAAATTAATAAATGTGTAAAATTCCTTTTCTCTCCTCCCATCCCACCAAGAGCCAAGCTGGTGGGTAATTATGGGATGGCTGCCAAAGGAGTCTGATCTTCAGAGTTGGTGTATGGCATTTTTACTGCTCTGGCTGGCTGCCCATTTAGTTATCACCCTTTCCAATTCTGTGGGTGCTCTCCTTACTGCAGGGACTCAGAAGCTGTACCCCAGTCATGACCGGAACAGGGAGAAAAGGAGAGGGGAGTATCTCAGGCAGGGGCTGGACCCCAGGAAGGGGGTAGAAGGGGGGCACATTTTTGCTTGGCTGGCAGGAGCATGGGTGTTGGGAAAATAGAGCAACGCTAGCACCGGTATTAATAATTGCCCTACGGGCGCACTTGCAGTGGGGCAGGGCTGTGTTCAGCACTCTATGAACTTAGACTGTTTCATTTAATCCTCCATCATTTATTCATCCATCCCACCAATATTTCTTGGGCAAATGCAACGTGCCAAGCACTATTCTAGACCCCAGGAGTGACTGATGAACAAGGCAGACCAGGGCCCAGCCTTTGGGGAGCTGGCATTCCAGGTGGGGGAGACAAACAATAAACAAAAATAAATAGAAATGACACAATTTCAGTTGCTGATAAGTACCCTAAGGCTACTTTGCATATCGAGTCAGGGGATAAAGCCTGAAGGGTAAAAAGGAAAGAATCATGCAAAGATCAGAAAAAGGGAAGAGAGAGGTGCGAAACATCTGGGCAGAGAACAGCAGGCGTAAAGGTCCGGAGGTGAGGAGAAAGCTGGTGGGATCCAGGAACTGTCGGGGGGACAGGAAGTGGGAAATGCGATCCAGGAAGCAAGCGGCAGATCGGACCTCTGGACCCTGGGGGTCTCACTCTGTGGACAGCTGCCATTTCACAAGTCATCCGTGTCCTACATCATCACCGCCGCCTCTGTGCCTGAGAACGTGCTAGGAGAAAGCAAAGGGTGGCGAGGCTTCCGCCCCCCAAACACCCCTCAAGAAGGGGTGTTAGGCTTAACCAGGCTGGTAACCTGGGGCTTTGCCAACAGGCAGTGGGTTTATCATCAGGGTTATCAACAGCCTCACCTAACATCGATGGAGAAGTGCTGTCCGGTGCTCTGCTCAGAGCCTTCCACAAGTCACCCCATTTCCACAGCCCCGCAGGGTGGGGCATTGGGAGCAGAAGATTATAAAACAGGAACGGTATGATCTGATTTATGCTCCGACCAAGTAATGGCTCCGGCTGCACACACCTTCCCCTTTCAGCCATCAGAGCCACGCTGTGTGGTAAGATTACAG